GACACTAGAATTCACACTGCACCTTGCAAGTTGCAACTAAACGACTTTTAGTAAACTGTCAAGAATACACAACTTGGACTTCCTTACTAAATGGAAAACCTATAATTGCATTTTTGGTGAAATTTGTTGGGAAGGTATTTATCTACTTATAATTCGATTACTGTAAGCAATTCTTGGAATTAAAATAAAACAAAATTGGCAAATAGGTACTTATTGAAAATAATCTTAAGATACGGCTATGTAATCTTTAATACACAGGGCTTTTGGCCTGTCCAAACCTTTTTCTATTGTTCTGTACAGCTTATGTTTATAAAGAACCAATAAAAGACACAAAACTTGTAATAACTCAGGTACATTTATTACAATTTTAGAAAATATTTAGATTATTCTCTAAAAATATTTAAAATGACCGTACTAAGTTTTGCATTAGAAATGCTGTTTTATTACTTTCTCATACATAAAAATAGACTATAATAACATATTATTACTGTAACTGTACTACAATTTTACTATAGTGGCAAAATATTATTACTCTAGCGGTGAAACAGTTTTGTTAAGTTGGTAAAACATTATTACTGTAACAGTAATACCGTTTTACTGTAGTAGTAAGATAAATTTAATATTACAGCATTAGAGCAGAGTTACCAAAGCAGTAAGGCAGTATTACTGCAGCATTACAACTAGATGTTACGTGTGGTAATCCTAGACATTGGTGGTAGTTATACAATTTTACTGTACATGTAAGGAAAATTTACTACCTCCGTAATAATAACTGTAGTAAAACTATATTACAGCTCTGTAATATAGTTTATTTACAATCATATATGTAATGTTGTCATTACTAACGTCATTGAAGGTTGGGAAGTGTCACATTACACACCTCTACTTCCCGCCCTCACTTCCCTCCCTCACTTTCCGCCCTCATTTCATCTATTCTAGATGAATATTTTTTATATTAAAAAAAAAATAACATAGTGTTTGACAAATTTTATAATACCTATTTAATGGCAAACAATAAAAAACAACAATGATCTAAAATATAACAAACTACTTACTGATATTTATTATTCGCGAATTTAATATCCAGCTTTATCTGACATTTATTTATATTGGTGACAGTTGTTTACCCCGTAATCAAAGTAACAATATATTTACCTACTTGATTATTCTGAGAAAACCGCGCGCTTGGTAATTTGTCGTTAAATGTAATATTTTAGGTATGTTCAGAACAAAACAGAGATTTATTAACTTTGATCGAAATATGATGGTTGTAAATAAAATAGTATACAAACCTCGGTAGGAAGTTTCCTGTCTCGAGATCATAGCTAACCTCGACGCTTTGCGTCTCGGTGATCTAACTAATCTCACGATAGGAATGAAACTCTTCCCACCTCGGTGTGTAATATACTATTTACTGCCGCAGTCGAATAAATTCTTAGTAATCTAAATAATAGTAAATCTTGTATTACTGTCACGGTAAAATCTTCTAGCTGATGTATGTTTATTTAACTTTTTGTTACTGCCACGGTAAGAATTTTTTTTCTGTGTAAAAGTCAGTAAAAATAAAACGAGTGTTGATAAACTTCAAATTGATTCCGATCGAAAAAAAGTTTTATATATAAATTCCTTCCTATATCCGAAAAGGGCAATATTTATTTTGTATTATAACGTCAAAGTCAAAACCCCAGAAGAACTATACATACAAACCACTTTCCGTTAAGTAAACTTGCCAACTGAAACGAACACAAATAAGAATATTCGATATTAGTAGGCGTATAAGTATAAAAAAATAAAACGAAAATGTAAGTGTTAAATTTTGGAATTGATACAATTTTATGTTTGCTGTATGTGGGGCAGATAATAAAACGAGATGAAATATATATTTAAAGGTATATAATAAATAAGGTAAAGGAAGGGAATGGTGACCGCTAAAGTAATAGTAGCCATCAAATATTTACAGTTACGGCCTAATATTATTTCGCGTTTAATATATGTTATGCCATCTATCTATTTCTAATGATCCTGTTTCCAAAAATTTTTAGAGTAACTCCAAAATATACTTTAGATGGACTTGTCGATTTTGATGTTGATTGTTAAACAGTTGGATAGTTCTATTACCACGTTCATTATTCGAAAAAAAAAAAAAATGATTTGCATCCTCTCAGCAATTGAGTAAACCATTATCACTGATATGCCACTTTTATGCCGACTCTATTACGAAACAAACTAAACCTTACTAGGTACTTTACGGCGACCAAAAAATGTAATCTGATAACAGTAATTGAAAATCCAGGAATAAAACTAGAATTTTTACAAACAATTCATTTTTTTTAATAACAATGTAAAAGTTATGTTAAACCGGTTTTGTATTTTTGGTGAACCACTGTATGGCCTACATAGATAGTAGCGATGTTAAACTTGGAGGTTATTATCTAGGTAAAAATACCTCAAAAATAACTCTAAATGAACGTTTTCTTCTAACTATGCTTGATCGGGAACAACTTTCAAATGTTCTCGCTTTTCCCTTTAAGAATTTGCTCAATAGCAATAGCAGTATGTACAGAGCTTTTGTATTGAGGCTATCAGCGCGAAAGTGGCTTAACCCCCCAAAAGCCTATTTTGAGAAATGTTTAAAACAATATTATTGAAAAATAAAGCGTCCTACTATTCCCATTTTATGTGAAATTTGGAAAAATATGTTTTATGTTAAATTGCTTATTTTGGTTGTAACAACAAATTAGAAAATGAAAAAGGTGCAATGACTTTTTATATTTTGGAAAAAAAATGGGTTTGGTCGTTTTGCTTTCTGTAAAATATTTTAAAATTTGTTAGGTCATGGTACGAAAGAAAAATATCACAAAAAATATAAGAAACTAATCATATAAAAAAAACTCACACGTAATTAATCAACATCAAATTCGTCTTCTTCCATAACGATAAAATTCTCAGAGTGATATTTTGCTTTCTTCGAGTTCTTGTAAAAATCGTGATACAGCGGAGGGATATATTCAGAAAGTTTTAGGTTTTTTTATTTATTTTCAGCCAATGTTGAAATTTGGTAAGACTATTTTCGCCTGAATTTACACGCCCAATCACTGTAAAGTAAAACGTTCAATTTATCCTATTTTAAGCTTTTCTAATGTTCCTCTAATGTTCCTCTAAACAAAGTTTTTCAATCTTACCGATCATGTTAAATGAAGTGTTCATGTTTCTGTGAACTTTACCACACCAACAACTAATATTGTTACATTCAACACCAAAAATAATAATTAAACAAATCAAACCATATCAAAATTTTTCACCTTAATAAAACAAAGTACTTAGCCGAAACGGCCTATCCCACAATAATTGTAGGTATACAGTTAGGCCAATAATCTCAAAATCATACTTATGTGGCTTAGGCCCTTTTCGCGCTGATAGACTCAATTGTAGACCTTATTAGTCGTTCTTTTTTGACGTCATAGAGTTTTAAGTCCAAGTTCAACGCGCTGTCTATGACAAGTTACGGCTTGCGCACCCAGAGCCTCGGGGATTCGGCGCCTATGAGTATGTTTAGTGTTTATTATCTGTTTGACCGTTTTTTTAAGAATTTCTTATTTTCTGTTTCTCTCTTAAGATGGTAGTGTATGGGTAGCAATTGTTTTTTCTTTTGAATATTTTAACTAGTTATCGATACAAATGTTTTTGACCAACTCCTCGTCCTTGCCGGCGAATTCGGTGTTATAGAACTTACATTTCACAGCCAACTAGATAGAATTTTTGCAAAATTGTTCTAGAAATATACAGGTTAAATCAAAATCTTCTTAAATTTTTTATTCACTTACTGTTTTCATATTATATGTCTCAAAAAGAACTTTATTTTTAAAGTCTTTTGGTATTTTTCTTACATCATAACGTCCATTATTAAGATTGTTATTTACAAATGAAATTTAACATTTTTCGTTATCATAAAATGCCTTTAACTTGATTTATATTAATTAAAACTATGTAATTATTATGCCAAATCATGTTTCTAGTTTATTTTATGTTTTTAGTTAAGCTTAGGAGTAGATAAAAGCATTTTATTTTATAATTTTCCCTTAACTTAGTTTTGAGGCTGTCATTATTTGGAATCTCATTTAATTTATTTAATTACAACAATAGTGTATTATTTATTATATCAGTTTTGTGTCTGGCCTAATAACTTTCTATTTCATGTACAATTTTAATCCCATTGTACATCCTCCTGAAAAGATAGGCACCTCCTAGCTCGTGAGCCAGCCTACAGATTTAATGTAGTTGACAACGTCGCCAACCTCGCCGAACACAAATCTTCTAATAAATGAGAGCGTCGAGCAATCGTAAAGGATATGCTCGATGGTCTCATCTTCTTGTTCGCACCCTTTCGAGAGTGCGGATTCTGACAGCTTCATGATATGGAGATGCTTTCGTACTTGGCAATGACAGAATGCCTGTGACAAGGCGCAGATTCTGTCTAGTCATAGTCAAGTGTTTGCTGCAGTGTTGTCAGGATAACTTAAGAGCTCCTTGGCAACTCTGCAGTTTCTTGTTTCATCCCATCTCTTCTTGAATTTCACAAGGGAATGTTCTTTGATTAGGTCTGTCATTACCGATTTTGTCAGGCCAATAGAAGGGTCAGGTCCAAAAAGTAGTCGTATTTTAGCCGTTCATATCTTAAACTATCGGCAATTTTGTGGATTTTTTTTACGCAAAGATATAAATAGTTAAGTTATATACCCATAAGTATCACAATATAAAATACAAAAAAAAACTGACATATAAGGTTTTTGCAAAACATTTTTTTCTTCACCAATTATATCTAATAACAGGTAAAATTGTCTATTTATATAAATCACTCATGGTATCTTACATCATTTTTCGATCAAGCCGCCATATTTAAAGCCATGTTTTATTTTTTGTTTATCGTGATTTATTGGAAAAATGATGTCAATTAGATATACAAACAATTTTTTTAATTAAAAAAATAAAACCGTACTAACCTTGGATCCATTCTCACGAAATCTTGAACACTGAGTTTGGGTCCGGATTTGGAAGATTGTTTGGTAAGGGTCGGCTTTCTTTTAACATTAAAGGGTTTGTGCGGATTTGAGGATTCCGCGAACATAAGCAACCTATCTCTTAGCTGCATTTCGTCACGATTCATCTCTCGAAGAAGCTGCGCACTTAGATTTTAACAGTTTCTTTAAGCATCTGAAATAAAAAAAGTAGGTTACCACAAATTATAGAAATCAGTTTGATCGTAAATAGAATTTGGTAAAATTATTTATGATACGCCTATGATTGGAGGGAACATATGGCTGTTCACTCGATTCTGTTTTGTACAGCACAGATTAGCAGAAGAGAATGGCATAATAATCCATCAACAAACGTTATTTGTACCTCATTAAATTCAAATAATCATTGCTAAAAATATAGGATAATTCTTGACCAAAAACTGCAATGCAACAATTTACCAATTTGTAATTATTTGAAATAGACTGCAACCAATTGTTTTCCATATCAAATGAGAATATTATTAATAATTTTTATTAAATAAAATTGATATTTAATTAAATTTTCTAGATTCCTTTTTTTAAATAAAGTTTATTAATAACACACGGCTGTGATTGGTAAACGCACATTTCTGTTAATTTGAATAATGTTTTCTTTTTGTTAGCAATAAAAGTATTGTATCTATCAAGTCATTTTTCAAACTTAGAAGTCGACGTATACGTCGGAAAAATCTATTATTCTGAGTTACAAGACAGAAAAATCGATTTTTCTGAGTTATAAGTTCGGAAAAATTAAATAAATATTTTGCGGTTCTACTACATTCCGTAAAAACCAATTTTTCTATAACCCATAAAACATTCCATCAATCTCAGGCAAGTAGAGGCAGGTAATATTGATGATGTTAGTTATTTAGAAATCTTCTTTTTTTATTTAGTATTCTACTCTTCTAAGCATAAAAGTTGAATCTGGTAATACGACTAATAATGCTAAATATTTCAGATACAGAAATTATGTTTAAAAATGCAGCCGAGTTGGAAGAAATGAGAATTAGTTTTAAATGTAGAACATGTATTTTTGTTGCTGATGAATAATTTTACATTAAAAATATTATATTATAGTATTTTTAATACAAATCCTGTCATCAGTGATCTTCTTTAGTCAAAGTACTACCAACTAATTTAAATGTCCCTAACTAAGCTAACAATCCGAAAATGTCACGATAATTCACGAGCATTCATGAACGTAGTCATATTACTAAAAACCGAATTATGTGAGTGATTATTTTGATAATTTTAGATTTTTTTTTAATTTATTAGCTTATACATGTTCTTATTCTTGATAATACAAATTTTATAAAAATTGTATTATATTTTTATTACTCAAAAAAACATACTTTACAATAAATAATTTTGACATTGTGTACGCCCATGAAACTCGTATTTATGGCAATTGTTACACCTTGTTGTGGCGATGACAATATTTTAAAATATTTCACCAATTAAAGTTAGGTTTCATGTTATGTTTATAGTAAGAGAGCCTACTGCAAATTTGCAGTGGGCCCTTGGGCTATTACAAGAAAAAGCTGATTATTTCTTTTATTTCTACATACAAAATGCCAAAAGACTAAATAGTCATTGTAAGGAGCTTCGTTAATACAGACGTAAGTTAAAAATTATTAGAAATGTAGTATAGAAATATGAATATGATTTCTAATTTTTTAAGCGTGTTGCAGCAACCCTAAAGCTAAATGTTTTAACTGTTAAGCTACGGTTTGATAAAACAATGCGCGGTACAAAACTCACAGTCTGCTTAGCGCTGCGCACGTCCGCTAAAATCTGTCAATGTTAATAGACTCCGTTTCACGAGTGAAGAACACAGCTGAAGTTGCAACGATGACAGTCGCAGAAACCAAATTATGTCTTGTTTACCTACGTCGCTTAGTAACTATAGGGTCACGTCAAGATAAGCTTATGGTGTTACATTTCTTTAATTCGTAAAATATATATATCCTGATCGAGTCTTTTTAATATACACAACCTCTATTTTCCTTGAAAAAAAAAATTAGAATAAATTTTGATAAAATACAGTTATTTATTACTACCTATATATTTGATTGAAATGTGATCTTATTTGTTTTTAGTCATAATTTATTTTTAAATGGGACATTGTAACAGTTAGCAACTAACTTGTTTAGAGACTAGGAGTATTTCTACAACCATACAATGTAAATATTGCTGATTTTTAATACCTATAGTCTAAGATCCCGCTGCAAAATCACTACGTTTATTAAGTTTTGAGTGAAACACAAATTTTTTACATGATTTTATGAATAGGAGAATACACTGACAACACCGCAGCCAGTCAACAGTGGCCGCAAGTAATTTTAATTAAATTAATGTTAATTAATATTCCAAAAAAAATTTCGTTTAAAATAAAATATCATCCACATCATAAAAATGCATGTAAAGAATTCTAAAATCCTTAAGTGCCGTTCCATACTCGGCCGCAACTACCTCGCAGCCAGGTGTAAGCAGGTAATATTTTGATCTATCTATACGTTCGTGACTTACAGGGATGTTTTTATTATCAAATTAAAGCTAATTTTTTTTCTAACATGATGATATATTGCTGCCTATGAAAAAATAGCCGCAAATTAGGAGTGCCATCAGTTAAAAACGCGAGATATCTGAGATAAAATGAGAGAGAGTTAGCGCGCAACGCCACTTGTTAGATGAGGATGGTGAATGCCAACTGTGTGAGTATTTGAAGCTATTGCGCATGCGTCGACAATAGCAATAGCTTCAAATACTCACACAGTTGGCATTCACTATCCTCATCTAACAAGTGGCGTTGCGCACTAACTCTCTCTCATTTGATCTCAGATATCTCGCATTTTTAACTGATGGCACTCCTAATTTACGGCTATTTTTTCATAGGCAGCAATATATCATCATGTTAGAAAAAAAATTTGCCTTAATTTGATATTAAAAACATCCGTTTAAGTCACAAACGTATAGATAGATCAAAATATTACCTGCTTACACCTAGCTGCGAGGTAGTTGCGGCCGAGTATAATAATAATAATAATAATCTGCTTTATTCAATAAAATACATAATACAGTTAATTTTATACAATAAATGCAATAGATAAAATAACTATAGATACATCACAGTAATGTCAAGAATAAAGCTTTGGATTCCAATAAGTGTATAGACACTTGTTTTGGCCAAAAGTAAATAAAAGGTTACAGAAGAGTAAAATCTAATAATAATTAATAACAATAATAATAATAATAAAATCACACAATAGGTACTAATACATTTCTAACTATGATATACAGATAACTTATTTTTAATTTGCCTAAACTTAAGTATATATTGCTGTAGTATTAGAAGTAATCATCAATAATGTGACGCTCGCCTTTGAAAATAAAATCTTTTAGCTCTGTTTTGAACAAGTATATACTATCAATGATTTTTATGTTTTCCGGAATTGTATTGTATAATTTTGGTGCCATATAGGAATATGACCGTTGAGTACAGGTTTTTTTCATAAACGGAGTAATGTAATGATGTTTGTGCCGAGTACTATATTCATGAATTGCAATTGGAGCTTGTTGTTTATGTACATGATATCTGATTCCTGAACAGAGGTAGTAAAGCTGCCTTATGTCCATTAACTCTATCTGAGTATATAAAATATCTGATGGATATCTTCTGTTTCTTTTAGATAATATTATTTTAAAAAATCTTCTTTGCATTACCTCTAATGGATAGATATGTGTTTTAAGGGCTACACCCCATGCTAGAATTCCATATCGCAAATGACTTTCTACTAATGCAATGTACAATGTTCTTAGATAACTCACAGGTAAGAGATCTTTTAGTTTTTTAAATTTATATAGGAGGCTTCGTAATTTGTTATTTAAATTTGTGATATGTTTATCCCATCTCATGTGTGGATCAATAATTATTCCCAAATATTTAATTTGATTTTTAGGTTTTATGGACATTGCATCGGTTATATTTAGATGGTCAAAGGTAGGAGAACCCAAAGAGTTACAACTAAAAGGTAGGTAATTCGTTTTGCTTATATTTATTGTTAATAATTTATAATCTAACCATTTCTTGATATGCAAGAAGTCTTTCTCGGCTATTTGTTTTAAGTCTTTCCAATTATTTGCCTGATAAAATAAAGCTGTATCATCTGCAAATCCGATAATTTTTCCACTGGTCCTCAATGAAAACAGCCCATTTATGTATATATTAAACAAAGTAGGGCCAAGTATTGAACCCTGCGGTACTCCATATTCGATCGTTTTTATATTGCTCAGTACATTATCCACTCTCACAGATTGTAATCTATTGGTAAGGTAGTTTTCAAAAAGTTTTAGATCATTATTTCTTATACCAATATCTTCCAAAGACTGCAAGAGTAGCTGATGACTGACCGTATCAAAAGCTTTCGAAAGATCTATGAATATACATAAACAAGGCTTGCTTTCATTAAGTGAGTCTGTTATCATTGTAGTCAGAGCAATGACGGCATCTTGAGTGGAAGTTTTTTCTCTGAAGCCGAATTGTTGTTTTGAAAGTATTTGATACTTATTTAAATAAGACGCAAGCCTGTTTTTAATTAGTTTTTCAAATACTTTCGAGATATGAGTAATCAAGGATATAGGCCGGTAGTTGCTCGTATTGGTCACATCTCCTTTTTTATATATAGGGATAACAATAGATTGTTTGAAAACTGATGGGTAAATGGAGTGTTCAATACATTTATTCAAAATAAAAGTAAATGGCTTTACAATGTAGCAGCAAATTTGTTTAAGTGTTTCCGCTTTTATATTATCAATTCCAACTGCTTTCTTGTCTTTTAAATTAAAAATTATATGTTTTACCTCATTTTCTTCAATTGGTACAAAGACGAATGAATTTGGAAGAGATTTTCTGTTATATTTATATTTTTTATCTTGAATAATTTGATTTGCCAGTTTTTTACCAATTTCGCTGAAATTTCTGTTAAATTCATTGGCAATATCCAATTTTTCCACCAAGAGTTCATTTGTATCTGTATTCATTATATTGCCAAAAGGCTGTTTTTCTTTTTTTGTATTGCTTATTTGCTGTACAACTTTCCACAGATTTTTG